AATTTAAAATCTTTGCAGATTTTCAGCATAGGAATCTGAAGGCAAAAGATCATTATCAAATGATCGATGCAGATTTTCTACCAACTACATTTTAAAAACTCAGCACTACTGGAAAAAACATTACAATTAGAATGAAATTTCACAAAAGCATGTTAATTCTGAGTCAAGTATGTTTTAAGCACTGCAAACCCACACCCTGGGATTTAGACGTGTATGGGCTTCTGGAGACCTTGTACTACAGTCAGTGTTTTATATCACTAGAAAACATGTAAACAACGAGTGATCCAATTCTGCCTTCTTTATATACTTACCATTTGCAACAGCAAGACTTTCTTTCCACTGGATAATAAGGTGAAAGAAAGATAAGTGCTTTACTCTCAGCAGATGTCCTTGAGCGTAGCACCTGAAATTCAATGTACCGTATCAAGTGTATATAGTGGTTAACTACAGCAAAATGTGTTGTTTTCTGGAGTGCTGAAGAAAAATTTCCATAGAAACCCCATAACTTGCTACCTTGAACTTGGAAAATGACCATTTGAGGAAACAAAACAAATAGACAAAAAAAAAAAAAAAAGATTCTTACAGTAAGACACTCAACAAAGAGTTAGACATGTGCCTGTATGTGTATGAAGATTGGCACCCACTCTAAGCTGAGAAGAAAGCAACTCTTTAAACACTGTTTAAGCTAAGATCTAAACCATTACGAGAGGGATGCAGAGCCATTGTACTCAACACTCACGTAAAGAATATCTGTGGACTTTGAACAAACCAGTTTCTCTGTACTTGAAGGAGCATGTTATGCGGTTCTTCTGAGCTTGGTGTAAGGTCAGTGTGACATAGACCCACCGAGAGCATGGTAGAGTAAAGCAGGAGAAAGAAGGAAATCTGTGTTTCCCAGAAAGGAGAAAAAGCATTGATCAAAAACTGATTTCTGCCATGTGACACAGCCTAGAGAAACCATAGATCAGGTTAGCTTTCTGCATCTTCAGTGTAATTCAACAGGTACCCAAATTACTGAATATTTTTTAATAACAGTTCTCTAGAGCTGAAAAGCGTATCTAGTGGATGTAAAAATAATAATTTCAAAACACTTCCGAGATACTTGAAAGTATCGTGTGGCAAAGTGTCTGAAACAAAAAATGGTGAGATTTTTATGTGAATTGTGTGTTGTAGCACAGATCAAATTCATTGAGGGTGTAAATTTGTGTGACTAGATTTATGCGAATAGGGTATGAGAAACAAATCTTTTTCCAACGTTCATGTTTACATTCACAGTTTCTCTGTGCCTGTATGTGCAGGATGCTGGAGTATGAGTATTTCCATCAATTTAAAACCTTTCTAAAAGAAATGGCATTCTGTGTAAAAGAGGCCCTTACCATCCAGTCTATAGCAGAGTATTGTCCTTCAGAAAATTTTGTATTTCTTTTAAAGTTATTTCATGTAATCTATTGTGACATAATATGTCCATGTCATAGTCCTATTTATGTGGAAATATGTAGACTTTGACCTCAATGCCAGTTGGTTGATAGATGAAGCTTACTCACTCAGCCAGTAATTGGTGCTTGTCCTGTTCCTCCTTACTGATAGTCTCTGCAGTGGAACAAAAAGTCAGAATTTCCATTTCATAGGAAGTTCAAATATTTTAACGTATGGTTTTGTCCCAAACTTCAGATAAAAAGAAAAAGTTCTGAAAAAAATTTTGCTTGTAACATGAAAAAAAATGCATCTGCTAGCAGTAGCACAGTGCTTCCTGGAAGCAGAAGTTTTAATGATTTATCCCATCATTCTTCATGGACTGGGTCCTTTGAAGAGACCGCTTCTGCTGTTATGTTTATACTTATGACTCCTGTGATGCACAAGGGCCTTGTCTGTGTGACTAGATACATCATCTCTGAGACACTGGACCGCAAATAAGCAGGTTAATACCAAATTTAGGCTCAGTTCTACAAAACAGAACATCACTTCTCAGGTCAACCCAAACCAAAGTACCTCATTCTTTTCCTTCTTTTCCTGGTGAAAACTCAGTAGCATTTCCACAGAAATGCACGCAACTGGGTAAAAATAAAATTTTCCATTGAAAAAGTCATGTGATTTAAAAAAAAAGAAATTCCAACACGCTTTAATAATGAGTAATGTATTTGCTGCCTGTTCTACTCCTTCATATATACCGAAAATAAGTCTCGTTACTTTTATACACTAACGCTTGCCATTCCCTCCCTATATGCAGTATTCATTAATATCGAAGCAGTTTAACCTCCCTTCTCCTACTTCCCCATCTTTCCTCTTCAGTCTGTTAAATGTGCTGTAGCTGATACAGTCCTATCAAGTATATTGTGCTTTTGGATCTCTTTGCAGGGTCTTTTTTGTTTTGGGTTGAGGAGGGTAATTTATTCTCTGTGTGTGTGTGAGGAGCCATAATTATCCAAATGTTTTCTTCCAAAACTTCTTTAATCTCGGATACCTAGAGTATGCGGGAGAGAGCCAGAAATGGAGGAACATATCCTGGGTAAACATTTGGTACTACATTTGCTTCAGTCTGGACAAGACCACAAATGATAAGGGCAAACTTGTACTTTAAAGTATGGAAACAGGTACTGTAAAGTATGGAAAGAAAAAAGTAGACATTTACAAATTATGAAGTACTAATGGAATTTTCGTAGTGTATGGAACATTTCCAAGAGGTTCATTTGAACTACCAGTGAAATAACATCTTCTTTGAAATAGTACATCTGATCAGAATGTAGGGAGGTGTTAGATTTAGTTTTGCAGCAAAGGATACAAGCTCTACTGCAGGAATCAGTGAAAAGAAAGGATGTTGGTGTAGTTAAAGATGGTGTGGGAGGGTGTATGTGGTATCAGAAGCATTCGTTCTGGAATTTACCTTAAAGAAAAGTCATTAAATGCAGTAAGTGTGGTTTTAATACAAAGCACAGAAATGCTATAAAGGAGGTGTTTCAGAAAAGAAATAAAACGTAGGAAAATACTTCTGCTTATATTCCATTTAATGATTAAGAATTTTTACAGTTTAGGAAGAGGGAAGCTTTAAGTAACGTTTATCAAGTCAGTCAGAAGAGCATGTGCATGGAAGAAGAGTCTGCAGAGAAGCTATCAAAGGGGAAGGAAGAAGCTACTTAAAATAAGCAAGGAGAAGAAATATAATTAAATGTTAGGCCAGATAATGCAAGGAGAAATAAAAGGATGATAGATCCTGGCATTGACAATATGCAAATGATATTCCTTGAGCTAGCAAATTGACGTGGAGCTGACCAGGACATACATAGGCTACGATTTCAAATGTATGCTGTAAACACATGAATACAGAAATGGCATTCAACTGTTAAGACCAGGTGACAGGCATACCTTCTCAGCCAGTTCATGTGTGCGTGTGTGCCAGGATGAACAATCACTTTTGTGGGCATAACTACGAGGGCTGCTTTCTGAACTTTGATTCAATAAATCAAGAGTGTGTTCTGTAAATACACAGCACAATCTCTGTATGCTATAAAATGTGTGTGCTGGTTTTGCTGCTTTTCTTTTCCATTTCTGGGCTCAGCTCCTCAGTCCAGAAGTGCTTTTACTTTCTACTGCTCTGTTAATCTTTGGACGGCATCTCGTGTGTGTTTACAGCTTTTGTACAAAAGCTGACTGCAGCTATCTGTTAATTCATTTGCCAGACACAACTTCACAAAGAGAGGGGAGTGTTCTCTTTTGTGATCTTGCGACGTTTTTGGATATGAGGAGGTATGATTGGTGTTCAGTGATTGCCAAAACTTCTACCCAAATTATGAAATACATGTCATGATTGTGAAGACGATCAGCATATGTTTGCTTCAGGAGGTATATCAGCAGAGAGATCACGAATGTGATGAACATAATTGCAGCTATTCTCACTTTGGATTTTTTTTTTTTTTGGTGGGGAGAACAGGAAGAGGTTCTTCTTGCATAGAAATTTATAAAGACCAGTAATATGAACAGCAAACAAAATCTAAAAAAAAAAAAAAGTAGAGAAAGTGAAAGTTTGGTGCAGAAAGTAGTAGTCAGAATGATGAAGCCGCTTCTAATATAACTCGCAAATAAAGGTTATCATTTGGACACATAAAATATGTTTAGTACATGGTTGAATATTTCAGTGCAATAAACTCAAAGATACAGTTGAAACTCAATTTTGGATACTTGGGTTCAGCTCATTTTACAGATCTATGAGTCACTCGATTCTTTGTAAAGAATATAGACTAAGATCCAAAATATACAAAGCACATCTTAATTTTCAGAGTCTAAGAAAAGGGATTACAGTTCATCCAAAGTGTTAGTATTTATTCACTACGTCTTATGTAAACTACTGCCATCAACAGTGATACTGTATTGCGTCAAGGTTTCTGTAAGGAGACAGATAAAGAGCTTATCTCCTGCACGTATTCTGACTTCTTTTCACGATTTTCCTGCTCCGCTGACTTGTCTGTCTTTGGGCCTTTGGTACCATATGTGAAGCTTTCTTCAGCATAGGGGAAAAAAACCCAATTTTTTATCCCAGAAACATGGTGAACATCAACTGCATCAAAAAGTTCCAGTTATAAAATGCTGTAGCCAGTGGCATAACCATGCTTGTGGCTCATCTAAGTGTTTCTCACTTCTACAGCCATTGAAAGGTTTATTTTCCAGTGGATAACACAGTTTGTCTCTGGAGCTTTGCGTTGGATAAAATACGGGCAGTTCGTCAGGCTCATCTGACAGTGTCAAGTTACTGATGTTGACCGCATTAAGAGGTTAGTGGTGAGGACTCTGAGGAAAGCAGCACTGCTGGGTCTAGAAAGCTGAAGTGTATGGATCTGTTGCATACTAAAAACTTGTAAGAAAAACACTACCCATTTATGAGATCTAATAACGGACTGAGCATGGTAACATTATGCTTCTCTGTTAAAACGCTGGCTACATACATGCACATGCCATGTTCTAAGTTTACTCCTTCCTAACCGTGCATTTTCTTTTTTTTTTTTCACTAGGGCATATTTCAAAACGTTTGTCCCTCAGTTCCAGGAGGCAGCATTTGCTAACGGGAAGCTTTAGGCAGCCTCGGGCACAGAGATGATACTGAACAGATCCTTCAGTCTGCACGTGTCAGCCCACAAGAAGAATGCCTGGAAATGGGTTGGACTGTCTTGATAGGTGCTTTCTTGCCTCTGAAATGGTTTTGGTAGCTTCATTTTTTTTCAGATTTCTGAAACAAAAACCTCACTAGCATGCTTAAAACTGAATATTTGGTATTCGTCCTGTCCCTTTGCCTCTGCCACCACCATTCCTTTATATATCCACTGGATTAAATTTAAAAGGGTGTGTTTTGATGTGATAACATTTTCTCGTGCCAACAGTGTCCTGTGTGTTATGCCTTGTTTCCTTGTCTTCAGGTGGTGTAAATTGGATTTTTTTTTTCCACAGAAATACTATGTAATTTGTATATTTAGTTAACATTTCCAGCTTATCCTAAGAAAATAGAAAACTGCCGTATGTACCAGGAATGC